AAGGGCTTCCACCACCTGGCCCTTGAGTGTGGTGTATCTGGACCTCAAGACCCTTCAACCAAAGGGCTTCCACCACCTGGCCCTTGAGTGTGGTGTATCTGAACCTCAAGACCCTTCAACCAAAGGGCTTCCACCACCTGGCCCTTGAGTGTGGTGTATCTGAACCTCAAGACCCTTCAACCCAAGGGCTTCCACCACCTGTCCCTTGAGTGTGGTGTATCTGAACCTCAAGACCCTTCAACCAAAGGGCTTCCACCACCTGTCCCTTGAGTGTGGTGTATCTGGACCTCACAGTTTTCTAGTCTTGATCTCTGAGACAATATACCAACACCTTCCCTCCGACAGTAAATCACCTGCTTATCACCAACACTATATGTTATATATATATATATATATATGCATTCTACATTCACCTAATTTAATTACCTTTTTCTTCCCCCTAACAAAAAAAGTTGTAAACCCAGGAATAACAAGAACAAAAAAGAAGTCTTAAGGCGGAGCTAGGTCTTTCTCCGTGTGGGAAATTGCCGCGGTTGAACCCAGCATGCCAATGAGAGGAGGGATAAGGGAGTTACTGTTCTCACAACTGTTCCCTGCCCTCCATCCCTCTCTCCCTCTATCTCCCTCCCTCCCTCCCACTCTCAGACCACCGACAGCTGAGGACCCAGGAGCTGAACATCAACCAAACGAACACACACACATAGTTAGGTACAGCAAGGTAAAGCTCTTTTCTCGGAAAAGAAAACTACTCGCTAAAATAAACACAAATCTGTGTATTGAACAAACTCGGTTCACCAATAACTGGAAAGGTTGGGTTTGGGAGCTGAAACTCAACCCTGCAGCGCATCTTGTAGGATGCACAACACCTCACTGGCTCTAGCTCGCAAGTACACTGAATACTCTCCAAATTAGCAAACTAGTTTCATACAATAGGAGTGCCGGTTGTTACGACAAGAGTAGGCCTATAGGCAGTCGCCTTCGTAATTCCAACAATCTCTAAGTGTTTGTGTATTTACTATTTGGTGTCTGCAGAAGCGACCTATTAGCTCTTGGACCCCGCCTTTCTAAGCAATCTATTTTTTCCTCTAAATATACTACATATTTTTCTGTCTAACACACGCACACACACATATACCAACACATTGTGTATGTGTGTGTGTGTGTGTGTGTGTGTGTGTGTGTGTGTGTGTGTGTGTGTGTGTGTGTGTGTGTGTGTGTGTGCGTGTGTGTGTGTGTGTGCGTGTGTGCGTGTGTGTGCGTGTGTGCGTGTGCGTGTGTGCGTGTGTGTGTGTGTGCGTGTGCGTGTGCGTGTGCGCGCGTGTGTGTGTGCGTGTGCGTGTGCGTGTGTGCGCGTGTGTGTGCGTGTGTGTGTGCGTGTGTGTGCGTGTGTGTGTGTGTGTGTGTGTGTGCGTGTGTATGCGTGTGTGCGTGTGTGCGTGTGTGTGTGTGTGTGTGTGTGCGTGTGTATGCGTGTGTGCGTGTGTGTGCGTGTGTGCGTGTGTGCGTGTGTGCGTGTGTGCGTGTGTGTGTGTGTGTGTGTGTGTGTGTGTGTGTGTGTGTGTGTGTGTGTGTGTGTGTGTGTGTGCGTGTTTGCGTGCGTGTGTGTGTGTGTGTGTGCGTGTGTGCGTGCGTGTGTGTGTGTGTGTGTGTGTGTGTGTGTGTGTGTGTGTGTGTGTGTGTGTGTGTGTGTGTGTGTGTGTGTGTGTGTGTGTGTGTGTGTGTGTTTGTCAGTCTGCCTGGTTGGCTATTCCATCTTTTCCCAATTTTCCTTCCTTCCTCCAGTTTCCCTTCTCTCTCTCCCTCTTACTGTGCTAAAATGACCCAAAACGCGGCTGTTACCTCTCAGTTCTCATTTGCATACTGCGAAAAGATTCCTTCGTACACAGCTACACGATAAGACGCGTGGACGTGACGGAGCTGACGAATTGGCCTGAAACCCGCTACGCACTGCTGCAATCTCGCACAAGAGTGTTATACAGAAGTGTTATACACCGGGTGTTATACACCGGGTGTTATACACCAGGTGTTATACACCAGGTGTTATACACCGGGTGTTATACACCGGGTGTGACATGGGTGCCTGTTTTCTATGCTATTTTCCTACCTGTTCCTATTCTGCCTCCATCCCTTAGTTGCCGAAGCAAAGCGCTTCTACGCCGTACAAATGGCAGCTGAAGGAGTCTTTGTCAGCGAGAGACGTCTGACTTGGCGACCAAATTGAATCAGAGTTGATGTCTTTTGTTTGTGTGGGACGGGGGCAAAGAGGGGAGGGTAAGGGAGGGGAGGGTAGAGAGGGGAAAGGGGTGGTAAGGAACGGAAAAAAGGGGGAAAGGGAAGGCAGCTGGGAGATATACAAACACCGCCTTACAATATAAACCGGAGTTTTAATTAAGACGACTCTCTTTAAATTATTGGAGGAAGTGAGGATTAGTTTAGTTTCTTCTCCTCCGTCTCTGCTGTGAGCATCTTCACCCATTAGGGCTGTAGGCGTTAATTTACCTATTGGGGACTTGCGAGCCACGGACAGACGGACAGACTGCACACACTCGCACGCACGCACACACTTTCAGGAAGAAGACAAAGGTAATGACTGAACTGAATAGAGATAATAAGGACCGAAGAGCGCTGTGATGCTTAACAAATTAACTAGACTGTCCCCAGAGGTGGTCTGAAAAATGGCTACTAGACTTGAAATTGAAATAAGTTTATTGAGTTGTTGACCAGACCACACACTAGAAGGTGAAGGGACGACGACGTTTCGGTCCGTCCTGGACCATTCTCAAGTCGACCATTCTTCAGTTCAAGTTTATTGAGGTAAAATACACACAAAGGGATGAGGTAACTCAAGCTATTCTCATCCCGATCAGTACATCGTGTTAATACATACATACACACACATCACAAACAATAAACATATTACCAAACATTCTGAGAGATAAACATATACATTTCCTCCTTTACACAAGTAGCTACTAGACTTTAACCCGGACAAATGCAAGTTAGAGAAGTCCTCAAATACATTAGAGAATGAAGGGGGAGGCTCCAACTTCAGAAAAGGAGATGGACTTAGTATAGTACATTGAACAGGTTCTCGCCTTAAAACTGAGGATCCTGTGTTCGATTCCCGGGCGGAACCGATATATTCGGGAAAGTTTCCTTTCACCTAATGGAACTATTCACCCTGCTGTAAATAGGTCCCCGGGAATTAGGTAACTGCTGTGGTGTTGCATCCTGGGGAAAAGTCAGTGGTTTGTTACTGAGGGTGGGAAGATAAGACGCAGGCTTCCTGTCCCATGAAAAAACGATTTAAATATTCTGCTAAGTCTAACAGGGACTGATCTTCATCAATCAATCAATCAATCAACTAAGAGAGGTACACACAGCACCGCTCTTGTGTCAGATAAGTCCACTACGGGCTCACCATGGTCCGTGCTACTTGCCCCGCTCCTGTGCCAGGTAAGTTACGGGCTCACCATAGCCCGTGCTACTTGGAACTTGTTCCGAGTAGCTGGATCTATAACAACAACTAAGAGAGAGATCAGTGAGCCAACTCAGTTACAGCCCCGCTCCTGTGCCAGGTAGGTCCACTACGGGCTCACCATAGCCTGTGCTACTTGAGACTTTTGTTCTCAGTAGCTGAATCTAAAACAACAACCGAACTAAGAAGAAAGTAGCTCACAGTACTTTCACTATTATGTTCTATTCACTCACGGGAACTGCACCTCACTTCCCAGGAAGGGAGACTGAAGGAACTGCACCACACCCCCCAAAACATGATAGATATGATATAGTCATACAAGATATACATGAAATTTAAACAGTAGACAGAAGGAAAATTCAATCCAAGTAACAGCAGAATTAAATCACAGGGCATTTTCTTCCACCCAATACCTCTGTTCACCTAGGAGTAAAAAAAAAAAAACTGGGGGGTTATCTTGAAATAACTCATTGGGTTAACTTAATTTTTAATAGACCAATCTGTTAATATTATAAATTTAAACTCATTGCCTTTTGCTAACACACACACACACACACACACACACACACACACACACACACACACACACACACACACACACACACACACACACACACACACACCGTAAATTTCCCCTCACCTTACCCCCCCCCACTACCCTCTCCCCAGGGCAGTTCCGTCACGTGAAAGGGGGTCATAAAGGCCAATCAGTACTGAGCGTTGGTCAAAAGTGGCATCTCCTTGATGGAACAATTAAATTAAGTGCGAGACTTGGTTTGCTGCGACAACTGAAGGAGACGGGCGAGGGGAAGGGGAGAGGGGAAAGGGAGAGAGGGAAAGGGAGAGAGGGAAGGGGAGAGGGGAAGGGGAGAGAGGGAAGGGGAGAGAGGGAAGGGGAGAGAGGGAAGGGGAGAGAGGGGGAAGGGGAGAGGAGAGGGGAAGGGGAGAGGGGAGGGGAGAGGGGGGGGGGAGGGGAAGGGGAGAGAAGGGAAGGGGGGGAGAGGGGAAGGGGCAGAGGGGAAAGGGGAGAGGGGAAGAAGAGGGAAGGAGATGAAATAGATAAGGATAAGGGTGCGAGAAAACGTGAAGGATAAGGGGAAGAGTGTGGGAAGGAAGGAGAAAGGGAAGAGAAGGGCAAGGGAAAGAAGAATGAATGGAAAGGGAGGAATAGACGAGAGGAAGGAAGACGAGGGATGGAAGAGACGACGGAGGAGGAGGGTGAAAGGAGAGATGAAGAGGGGGCTAACAGAAGAGAGAAACGTTTTATACACAATATTAAGAACAAGGAAATTGGAAGAAAAGGCGTTTGAGAAGTAAGGGAATGTGAAAACTTGAAACACAATCTTCCTCCCACGGTCACCCACACACTCCCACGGTCACCCACACACTCCCACCCTCACCCACACACACTCCCACCCTCACCCACACACTCCCACGGTCACCCACACACTCCCACGGTCACCCACACACTCCCACGGTCACCCACACACTCCCACGGTCACCCACACACTTATAACAACAGAACCTAGAACAGCTGGGGCAGAAACAGCTGGGGCAGAAACAGCTGGGGCAGAAACAGCTGGGGCAGAAACAGCTGGGACAAGAACAGCTGGGACAAGAACAGCTGGGACAAGAACAGCTGAAACAAGAACAGCTGGGACAAGAACAGCTGGGACAAGAACAGCTGGGACAAGAACAGCTGAAACAAGAACAGCTGAAACAAGAACAGCTGAAACAAGAACAGCTGAAACAAGAACAGCTGGGACAAGAACAGCTGAAACAAGAACAGCTGAAACAAGAACAGCTGAAACAAGAACAGCTGGGACAAGAACAGCTGAAACAAGAACAGCTGAAACAAGAACAGCTGGGACAAGAACAGCTGAAACAAGAACAGCTGGGACAAGAACAGCTGAAACAAGAACAGCTGGGACAAGAACAGCTGAAACAAGAACAGCTGGGACAAGAACAGCTGAAACAAGAACAGCTGGGACAAGAACAGCTGAAACAAGAACAGCTGGGACAAGAACAGCTGAAACAAGAACAGCTGGGACAAGAACAGCTGAAACAAGAACAGCTGGGACAAGAACAGCTGAAACAAGAACAGCTGGGACAAGAACAGCTGAAACAAGAACAGCTGTGACAAGAACAGCTGGGACAAGAACAGCTGGGGCAAGAACAGCTGGGACAAGAACAGCTGGGACAAGAACAGCTGGGACAAGAACAGCTGGGACAAGAACAGCTGGGACAGGAATAACAACAGAGGTCAGACATGAAGCCTCACATGAAGCCTCAACCCCAAAGGCCACAAAAACTGTCTCCAGAGAAATTGAGCAGTTAAGTGGTGGGGCTGGGGGGTCTGTGCCCCCCCTCACCCCACCTGAGACACCTACCCTCCCCCTACCTTAGATACCTATCCCCCCCCTCTCACATCCTAGGCCTCCATCCCTCTCCCAGAGGCAACCAGCACCTAGCCTACCTCTCCTCACCTATTCCTGGCCACCATCCCACCTGCTCCCATACACTCCCCTAGGCCTCCTACCCTCTCCCCCACCCGGGCCACCTGCTCCCCCCCCCGGGCCACCTGCTCCCCCCCGGGCCACCTGCTCCCCCCCGGGCCACCTGCTCCCCCCGGGCCACCTGCTCCCCCCGGGCCACCTGCTCCCCCCCTCTCACACGCCACCTGGGACACCTACCCTAAACCATCTGGATTACCTTGCCTCACCTAACTGGGGTCACCACTCCTCACACCACCTGTGTCACCTCCTCAGATGGCTGGATGACTTTCACCCACAGCTGGTCCTCACCTGTCACTCACAGCTGGTCCTCACCTGTCACCCACAGCACCACCTGTGGCTAACAAATATCGAACACTTCACCATCTGAAAGCGCCCATAAACCTACACATGGATTTTACTCAATATAAAATTACATATTAATACATAATACAACATCCTTTTGTAACAATTATACTGAGGATCTTCGCTCCAGCTCACACGGAATACAGCTCTTCAATGACTGTATTATACAACTGTATTTCGTTTGTCTATTACTCTCTTAATATCGTCTATCTGAACCTAATTGTAACTGCTAATCACCCTATTTATCTCCAATTAATCAATCAGCCACCACCACCTCATCCATGTACTTCATCCACAACTCTCACCCTCTCACTCTCACCCACACCCTCCCCCCACACCCCACTCACAGCTGTCGTAGAATAAAAGAATACTATTTACCCATCAACTTTTTTTGCATAGAGTCCCGGTCAGTCCAGGACAGATCAGAGGGATTTTGGAAAATAAAAAAATAGGATAATGTATGGATCTGGGGCCAAATGGGGAGATTTGTTGAGTAAACAGGACAGCCAAATCCCATACACGACCAATCTCTCTCTCTCTCTCTCTCCCTCTCTCACTCTCTCTCTCTCTCTCTCTCTCCCTCTCTCACTCTCTCTCTCTCTATCTTGGATATTTGTATATCTAGACAATTTTTCAGCATACGTTTAGCAATCACTGCTGATGTAACTGTTCTGTTCTCGTCAAAGAAAATTGCCTATAGCGTCACAAAAGAAAGCAAAAAATGGGAAACACAATAAAATATGAAATAAAGGACCACTGTCCAGCCAGTTATACAATTTTCCCAAATTATCCCCATAAAAAAAGTTTTCACGAATGTTAACAGAAGCCACTCCATTGAAAACCGACCCTTATGTAATGGGAGGAAAAGGGATTATTTACGTCGCGACAGGTGGCGACGCGACGCAGGGGAGACTCGCTCTTACGAAGCAAACCGCGGGAGATATTTCTTGATAAAACAGGGATTCCCGTTCAGTAATCCTATTCGGAGCGTGCTACATGAAGAGGCCCAACCCCCCTACCCTACCTTATCAGGGAATATTAATACCGTGTCGGGGAAAATCCCAATGGAGGGGAAATCGTAGAAAAAGCGACAGAATTGTGGAAATGAGTCACTGAATATAAATAGGATTACGGGTGCCTTGTTTTGCTTGGTGAGTGCCGCAGTGGTGGCCAGATGGCCCTCAACTGGCCATGTGCCCCACAGGCTTGCTTAAGCCGCCACTAAAACAAAGGGTAAACAAATAGGGAGAAAGTGAGACAAGAGATTTTACCAGTTATATATAATAACATAAATAATAATAATATTCTATGAGAATACTAATAACAATATTAAATATACATTTTTAAACTAATGTTTACGTGCTATTCAAAGATTCGTGTTTTTTAATACATTAACAGTGGCCATTTACACATATGAATAGTTAACAATAATACATTTGGAAATACCGTAACGATATTAACATGGCGCAATAACTCTGGTTAGAATTTTGAATATCATCGGGGAACGCAGACTTTGCTGCGCTCTGCCTCGCAGTGACCATCAAAGTTCACTGTTGAAAATGTGTTCACTGTTCACAATCCTACTCATCTGGACAACTTTTTTTATTTAACAATTTTGGATGACATTTTAGGTAATCGAATTTTTTGTTGCATTATGCAGGTTGTGAGGGGAGGATGGTGAGGGGGAGGGTGGTGATGGTGAGGGGGAGGGTGGCGATGGTGAGGGGGAGGGTGGTGATGGTGAGGGGGAGGGTGGTGATGGTGAGGGGGAGGGTGGTGATGGTGAGGGGGAAGGTGGTGATGGTGAGGGGGAGGGTGGTGATGGTGAGGGGGAGAGGGCAGGGTGGTGATAGTGATGGTGATGGTGAGGGGGAGGGTGGTGATGGTGAGGGGGAGAGGGCAGGGTGGTGATAGTGATGGTGAGGGGAAGGATGGTGATAGTAGTGTGTAGCTGTCAGTCAGCGTCAGCTCAAAGTCCAAGTCTTCAACAGATCACTCAGCTTGAGGGCAAAGGGGAGGGGGGGGGGGTCGAGTCTCTTGTGTGGGGGGTTGGAATCTGGGGGGCTTACGGGGGGCGGGTGCGTGGTGAGTGGGGGGGGGAGGTCTAGAAGTTGGGATTGGTAGTCAGAAGACGAAGCCTGGACGAAGGAGGGATCTTCAGGCGTCGGGGAAAAGTCTAGTATAGTAGACTTTATATATATATAGGATGGATCGAATAGGATCGTACGAATCTGGAGGCATGGAAGGGGAGATCTGGAGGTATGGAAGGGAATCTGGAGGTATGGAAGGGGAGATCTGGAGGTATGGAAGGGAATCTGGAGGTATGGAAGGGGAGATCTGGAGGTATGGAAGGGAATCTGGAGGTATGGAAGGGGAGATCTGGAGGTATGGAAGGGAATCTGGAGGTATGGAAGGGGGTTCATTAGGTATGGAAGGGGTTTCTGGAGGTATGGAAAGGTGATCTAGAGGTATGGACGGGAATCTGGAGGTATGGAAGGGGTTTCTGGAGGTATGGAAAGGTGATCTAGAGGTATGGAAGGGAATCTGGAGGTATGGAAGGGGTTTCTGGAGGTATGGAAAGGTGATCTAGAGGTATGGAAGGGAATCTGGAGGTATGGAAGGGAATCTGGAGGTATGGAAGGGAATCTGGAGGTATGGAAGGGGTTCTGGAGGTATGGAAGAGAGATCTCGAGGTCTGGAAGGGGGATCTTGATGGAAAAATTCACAAAACGTAATTCAGTGTTCCATATCGTATTAATATACGATACATATATATTGTATAAAACTTTCTAGCCATCGGTTGTTTACATCCGATGGCTAGAAAGGCGGGATCCAAGAGTCAATGCTCGATCCTGCAGACACAAATAGGTGAGTACACATCGTGTCAGCAAGGCGGACCGTACGCCTGTTATCTTAACTCATACAGTACATCCCATTTCTTAACTTTTCCAGTCACCTGTGAGTCTCCAACGTCTTTACTAAATAAAATAAAATAAAAAAGTGGCTAAAAATTTGAAACACACTCAGGTTCTATCCCTTTGGCTCCCCCTTCCCTCTGGTTCCCCTCCCCCAGGTTCCCCCTCCCCCAGGTTCCCCTCCCAAAGGACTGGATATCAGAACTTTATAACTTCAAGTTACAGTACTGTCAATGTACTGGGTCAAAAACTCTAGATTATAAAATTGAGTGTGTGAACAACTGTGAGGGACTTTAAATGGGTTCAAGAGCAGTGCTGGGAGCATGACAGCAGTGCTCGGAGCATGACAACAGTGCTGGGAGCATGACAACAGTGCTGGGAGCATGCCAGCAGTGCTGGGAGCATGACAACAGTGCTGGGAGCATGCCAGCAGTGCTCGGAGCATGCCAGCAGTGCTGGGAGCATGCCAGCAGTGCTGGGAGCATGACAGCAGTGCTGGGAGCATAAGGAGAGTAGCTGCCCCGTGAAGGAGTGGGGGAAGTGCAAGAGCAGCATTAACTACGTAAGAGACAACTGCTTAATACAGAAGACGATATCACCAAACACAACAGATGACCTGGGAAGCGACAAGGAGGTTAGCGAGTTCGCTATATCCTCTCACCCGTATGACAAACGAACCACATCAACGAATGACAGAGGAAGGACGGACGCAATGACTGCGAGACGCAGGCGGCACTGGCGAACACGAGGACGGACGCAATGACTTCGAGACGCAGGCGGCACTGGCGAACACGAGGACGCAAAAACTATCCGGCACAGGACAAACCAGACACAAAAAACGACAGGAAGATATAGGAGAACGTACCTTTAAGAGATTTGTTAGCGGAGACGTGATCGCGAGGCCAGGGCGGGTCTCCGTGTAAGGTAAACTCCCGTAACTTGAGGTAGGAGATGGTGAGGCGGATGATGGAGGCCTTGTCCAGCTGGGAGGTGATGGCTGGAGGTAGCGGCAACATCTGAGGAGGAAGATACATGTTCTTTAAGATTACATTCTAGTGGTAGAGGGTTGAACAGAACCCGCAAGGGACATTGGTACTTCTACAGTTGAAGGTTATATGACCAAGAGACCAACAAGTAGCCTGATGCAGGCGATGAGTCACAATAACGTGGCTAAAGTATGATCACAATCGACTTGAGAATGGTCCGGGACAGACCGAAACGTCGTCTTCCCTTCACATTCTAGTGTGTGGTCTGGTCATCAAGTAGCCCGATACACACACACATATACACACTCTGGGTGGAACACGAACAAGGGGACACAGGTGGACACTTAGTACTCCATATACAGTTTCAAATGTAGATATGAT